ACCTTAACCAAAATCAAAGTAGACTATCACTCACCCACACCAGATGGAAAACTCTACAGACTGTCGGTTCACACCCCATCACAAGCCAGCAAAACATCCACGAAACAAAGAAACGTCTGTCACAGCCAAAAAATATATATAATGCTTTTTTAATGCTCTTCTTAATGCTTTTTTTTTTTTCTTTAACCATGGATTAGATCAAATGTTTGCCTGTCTGGCCCACTTAGGGGCTCGCCACACCACTGTCGAAATGCTAAAAACAATTCAACTACTGTCAGAAGAAATTCGACAGCAGCCCCTTTGACAGTTCCCCCCCCTTCAGCCACACATCACTGTTGAATGCACGAACTGGTCAATGCAAGCCGGAAACAGACAAATGTGCCTGAGGATGGGACAAGCATTCGGTCGTCCCAACCTCAGGCCCATTCACCAAATTCCAATGAGCACTTGATAGCCGAGAGGAGGACTGTTGACGGACTGTTGAAAACGTGGGAACCTTTTTTTTTTATGGATCAGATATTGAAATGATCAGAACAGATACTACATTTGATCTTTTAGCCAAAAGACCGAGAAAGGTATTGATAGAACCACTTTCCAAAGGAGGTATCCAGAAGCTTTCTCTAACAACTACCGGTAGCTTTTTTTTTTTTTTTCCCTCTCTTCATTTTCGAAAGGCTGTGTGGCGATGTAAAACTATCGAAAAAAAATTGCATTTTTCGACAGTGGCTCGCCACACCCGGTCTTCGCCACACAGCCTTTCGAAACACGACACCCGGCTTTAGACACAACTGCTTTCAAAAAAGTTCCCAAAGGTGTCAGAGAGTTCGGCGTCGACAGGCTATTTGAAGAGGCAAGCTCCTCCCGCCAAGCTCCAAGCTCTCAAAGGCCATTTTCGAAGGGGCAAGCTGTTCCCGCCAAGCTCCAAGCTCTCGAAGGCCATTTCAATGTCCATATCGAAAGGCAGCGGGTTTTTCGAAAGTCTGTGCGGGCCAAGAGGGGATGTTCTTTCAACAAGCCCACAGCCTTTCGAATGAAGCCTCACATTTTTCGGAAAATGCCTTCATTCGAAAGGCTGTGTGGTGAGCCCCTTATTCTCTTACCTTCCCATCGCTCCACCAGCCCACCACCCAACGCCAATCGGGGCAACCCTTTTTTTTGTTTTTTTTTTTCCCGTCGGGGCAACCTAATTCAGTGTGAAGAAGAAAAAATACGGTCTTCGCCCGAACAGAACGCCCAGTGATAATGGCCGCATCTGGACTGGAATTTGCACCACATACGGCTATAATGACCGGGCGTTCTATTCCGGTGAAGACGGTAGCTTTCTTTTTAACTAAGGTGGTACGCAGACTCCCGCTGAATTTGGCGGCAATTGCAAAAAAAAAAGAGTCCTTGGTGTGGGTATTCCTCAAATATGAACGCAATGCTTGGCACCATTGATGATGAGTTTTTTTTTTTGCTTTGCTTTTGTGTAGCGTTGCATGTCAACATGTGGAAGCAACCCTACGTAACAACTGCCTTTTTTTTACCTCTTCTTTTTTTAACGACGGCTAAAAATTCCACGAAATGCTCTTTCTTTTTTTTTCCCCCTCATCGCTTAGCACCATTGATGATGAATTTTCTTTTGTTTTACTTGTGTAGGGTTGCATGGGCATCGCCACACCACTCTCGAAAGGGGCAAAATGAGAATGAACTTCTCGCTAGAACATGGCCAGATGCACGCACCACATTTTTGTCTTTTTCACATTTCGAGAGTGGTGTGGCGAGGCCCCATGTCAACATGTGGAAAGCACCCTACGTAACAATTGTCATTTTCTTTACCTTATCTTTATTGAACGACGCCTAAAATTGCACGAATTTTTTATTTTATTTTTTTACGTTATGTTTGGCGTATTTCCCTTCAAAAAAGAATTTGGCGTAGTTCAATTATATTATTATTATTATTATTATTATTATTATTATTATTATTATTATTAAAAATAATAAAACCACTTCATGTACGCACGCGAGGAGATAGCTAACCGAAGGCGCACAGTCCCACTATTGGATTAAGCGCAAGAATCTGGATTGTTTTACGAAGAGAGGAAGAATTTATTGACATATTTGTTGTATTGCCTGGGGCACCGGGCCCGTTTATAATGCAATAGTTGGCCGTTTTATGAAAAGGGAAAAAAAGGGACCGCGATGATCTGCACCTCTCCACAAACACATCCAGATTTGCTACTAGTGGGACTACGCCCCAGATGCAGATCAACGGCCAACCCGTGCATCCCAAAAAGCTGTGCCACTAAACTGACCCATAAGCAGCGGTGCCTTCTGAACCTCCTGCCATTTTTTTCCCATTGCCAACCCCTCCCCCCCTTTCCCCATCCCCTCCTTATTTACTTTTTGCCACAAGGCCGATCTTGGGAGAAGGCCCCTGGGGCGAGGTCCCACTAGCAAAGAGGATTGGATTCAGCGCCTGAATCTGGATATGTTTTACACAGAGATGCAGAAAAGCAGGTCAATCGCCATTTTCTGCACCTCTCCCACAACCGCGTCTTGATTCAGACGGGAAATCTGATCCTCTTTGCTAGTGGGACCTCGCCGCTGAGAAGTGCCAATTGCGCTGCCTAATCGAAACGCGTCGGCTAATGAGCGCTTTCTCTGAGGGCATACTCACACTAACACTAGAACTTTCGCAGATATGACTGGAATTCCATCCTGACCTGGATGTATCTGACTGCAATGACGTCCAGAGGTTGGTCCAAACAATCCTAGTGTGAGTGTCTAAGGGATATGGACGGAATCACGGAAACATGCACGCAATACAGTTTTTTTGCCTCTGTTCATCGGTATTCACTGAATTCATGATATTATTGAAATTTTCGTTTTCTCTTTTTACCCCTTAATAATACTTTAACAAGTAAAATTTCAGCTCCTTGTTAAAAAAAAAAAATCAGCTCCATGGGTCATGAAACGACAAATGAACGGTGCAGAGAAGACACAAACACAGGGCGGGACAGGAAATCAGAAAGGAGGAGGACATGAATACCCCTACTCCCTACTCCCAACTCCCTCGGCCTCGCTCCACTACTCTTCAAGGGCCTCGCCACACCACTCTCGAAATGGGGAAAAGACAAAAATGTGGCGGGTGCATCTGGCCGTGTTCTAGCGGAAAGTTCATTCTCATTTTGCACATTTCGAGAGTGGTGTGGGAGATTCCCAAAATGTGCAAAACGAGGGTGAATCTTCCGCTGCCATATTTTTTTATTTTTATTTTTATTTTTTTAAGAAGGGCGACAGCCTTGAGATATCAGCTTTGAACTGACTGGCCCAGGTAATTCAGAATTATTTTACTCGAAAAAAAAAGAAAAAAAAAAAGAAATATTTTACTCTGTTCATCTCATTGCAACTCGATTCGAACTTGGGTTTGCATGTTAACAGGTCGGGGGTGTACCAACTGAGCTGGGCTCAAAATCATTACGGTGTATCTTTCCATGTTCTAGCGGAAGATTCACTCTCGTTTTGCACATTTCGAGATCAGTGGAGCGAGGCCCAATGCGGCTGTGTGGTTACACACATGGGCTGTTCATAAACAGAACACGAGTTCGAGTCCTGACAGGCTCAGCTGAAGGCAGTAAGTAAATACCCCGTTTACGATCGAAAAGACAACGAGTCCTGTGGTCGGAATGAACCTGGACACAATTTGCACGTTCAGTGCATCCACAACCGTTTCTGTTCATCATCATCATCCACCCCTAACCGCCCCCCCAAAACAAGAAAACAAAAAAAAAGAGAAAAAGACAAAAAGCGAAAAGGCAAAACAACGAGACGCTACCGAAAGCGTGCCATGCTTTGCCTTTTTTTTTTCTGTTTCTTTGCCGCTCCCCCCCCCTCCCCCCCCCAAGAAGGCATCCTTTGCACCCATTGGTAGCACTCCAAGAGACGCAGAGACATCGTAACCACAGAAAGAAGCGGGAGAAACGGGGGGGGGGGCGGGGGGGGGAGGGGGGAGAGAAACAGACACACGGAACAAAACAGACAGTAAACAGCTTCAGCAAGAGCTAGGAAATAACAAATAAAGGGCCTCGCTGCACTACTCTTGAAATGCACAAAAGACAAAAATCATGTCTCTGTATCTTTCCATGTTCTAGGGGAAGATTCACTCTCGTTTTGCACCTTTCAAGAGTAGTGCAGCGAGGCCCAAAGAAGGGGTTAAATAAACACACCCTTTCGCAGAAGCATATGCTGGCAGTTTGCCAGGCTCTCTACAGTTTTGGTTCGCTGAGTCCTTTTTTTTTCTCTTTTTTTTTTTTTCATAAATCTGAGGAGTCTTCCACAAGCCACAGCTGTCTGTTGCATGAAATTACGGCCGGCCGTCGTAAGTTCTTGAAACAAGTCACTCGTTTCTTAAAAAAAAAAAAAAAAAAAGGCAGGCAGGCAGGCAGGCAGGCAGGAAGAAAGGAAGGAAGGAGATACAAACTTGTAGAGGACCAACGCGTGTTGAGTTGATAGCAGTGCGCGGAAGAAGAAGAAGAAGAAGAAGAAGAAGAAGAAGAAGAAGGAAGAAGAAGGAAGAAGAAGAAGAAGGAAGAAGGGGAAGAAGAAGAAGGGGAAGGGGAACGTGCAGAGGTGGAGTGATCGACCATATCCGCCGTTCAACTTGCGGAGTTGATCGTGTGGATGGGAGTACACTCACCTGAATTAGACGGCTGTTATAGACCACGTTCATCTTGTTGTCGAGATTAACCGAGGCCGACTTTACGCCTAGGAGGCTCGCGACTGCTTTCTCCGCCGCCATGGCCAAGTCCTTGGACAAACTCAAATTCTTGAGCCATATCTCAACGTTCGAAACCAAGTCTCCGTCACGCGCAGCCACCGACGACTCCCCTTCCCCTTGCGAGCTCAATCGTCCTCCTTCTCCAGCTAGTAGAGGAGTTAATTCATAACCGTCCTCCATTTCTCTCTCTCTCTCTCTCTCTCTCTCTCTCTCTCTCTCTCTCTCTCTCTCTCTCTCTCTCTGTGTGTGTGTGTGTGTGTGTGTGTGTGTGTGTGTGTGAGGCTGCGTTCTTAGCTGGACTTTGCAGACGACGATATCGGTTTTCAAGATTCCGTGCGATACTGACGACACCGGCCAACGGCGCTGAGTACAGTGACGATGCAGCTGACCAAGCGGAGAACTGGTCGAGACGACAAGGATGCTGACGATGTGATCCTGGCGATGATGGCTACGTTGTTAAAGCATTGGCAGTAAGTTAGTGATGACGATGGACATGATGGTAAAATACTGATAGAGCTGGCAAAGTTGATGATGCGGGCGATGTTCGCGCTGCTGACAATTTTGAGCGATGGAGCTGAGAATGCTTCTAGGATAGTGACGAGGGAGCTGGGAATGCTGTTGAGGTTGCTCTGGTCGTTGTTCAGGTTAACAAAACCGTCCAGCCTCGAAAATTGCCTGCGTTTGCTGCGGAACCCAACACGCGGGAAAGAGAGGCGAGAAACTGCGTCGTTCAGTCTGAAGAAGAGCGCGCAAAATCATCATATACTCAAAAGCGCGGGAACTAGGGAAGCATGATGAGTCTTACAGACGAAGCGCGGGGATTGGCTTTCGAATTGCAAAGCGCGGGAGCTTGCTTTCGCATTGAAAAGCGCGTCAATCGATCTCTTCCCAGTCAAAGCGCGCGGGACCACAAACCAAAAGCGCGGGAACTCAACAGTTCCATCCCTTCCGCCCCCCCCGCTCCCCCCTTTCACTGACCATCAACCAGGTATATAATCAATCAATTCCCCCCAAGGCTCAAGAGATCCGTTCCTCCTCGTTCGCAGAGATTCATCTCTCTCTCTCTCTCTCTCTCTCTCTCTCTCTCTCTCTCTCACACACACACACACACACACACACACACACACACACACACAGAGAGGGGCGCGCAAGACTTGGCCCCGGGTTAAGAGATTGATCAGCAGCCCGTCAGAAGGAAGTTAGCAGATCTTATTTCCAGCAGTTGCGCAGGACAGGTGAATCCTTCCTCCTGTGGATTGTCATCCCCCATGTCCTGCCATAGCCCACTAGTAGCGCGGGCGCTTGAAAAGACTGTCCGACAGGACCGACAACACCTCCTCTCTCCTTGTCGCCCTCCTCTTCTCTTACTTTTCAGAGACAATTTCTGCCCTTCCAAGAGACGACCATGAGCGGCCAATATGACCACATGCACGTCCCCTCCCCTTCTGCTACTTTTCCGGAGACAAGCACTTCTTTCCCATCCACTTTTCCCGCCCTTTCAAACTCCCATCCACTTTTCCCGCCCTCTCAAACTCCCATCCACTTTTCCCGCCCTTTCAATCAAAGAGCACAAGGCGGAGCCGTGAAACAGAGCCACCTGGTGTCATCAGCGAGATGTCGGACGAGTACAGAGACGGCTTCATTATGCACTTGGTCGTCCTTCTACCACTCCTGGCTCCTGTAATGCACCCTGACGAGTCATCCGTCCAGGTGCAAATCCGCACATCTTCTGCTCCGGTCCTCCACCTGTGGAAGTGCGAGTACTACATCTGATCAACTGCCTGCACAACGTCACAAACAGAGAGACAGAGAGGGAGGGAGGGGCAGAGGGAGGGAGGGACGGGCAGAGAGAGGGAGGGAGGGAGGGAGGGAGGGGCAGAGAGAGGAAGGGAGGGAGGGAGGGGCAGAGAGAGGGAGTGAGGGGCAGAGTGAGAAGGTGGGGGGGAGAGATTCACAGAGGTTATGCACAACGTCACAAACAGAGAGAGAGAGAATTGCGGGAGGGGCAGAGAGAGAAGGAGGGAGGGGCAGAGAGAGGGAGGGAGGGCAGAGTGAGAGAGGGGGGGGAGAGATTCACAGAGGTTATGCACAACGTCACAAACAGAGAGAGAGAGAGGGAGGGAGGGAGGGAGAGAGAGCGAGTGAAGAGGGAGGGGCGGGGGAGGAAGAGATTCACAGCGGTTATGTCAATTTGCTGTTCAGCTTCTCGCGTGTCTCCTCAAATAGGGTCTGATTTGAAAAGAGGGGGGGCTTGACGGCTATGGATGAATGGATGACACGTACTCTACCGCCGGGGCCCGACGGCTATGGATGGTTGAAATGTCACTCCCCGCTTCTCTTTCACTCTTACCTTTCTCCTTCCGATGAAAACTACAGTCGCCCTCTCCCCCAGCCCTTCCCCCCAAGGCCAAATCGCTCGCATACCCCTCCTACTCCCTTCAGCTAATTACCTTCTCCTCCTCTATTCCAAGCCTCCGGCTATACCCCCCCCCCACCCACTCTCCCCTCCTAAACTGGACGTAAATCCACCCAAGGGGTAGGCTTTCTCTAACGCTTGGTAATCAACACACAGGGGTGCCTACCCCTTTTTTTGTGAAGAGCTATCTGTCAGCTACCCTTTAGGCACCGCCCATTCTTTTCTCTCCTTTCTGCTCTCTTTTTTCTTTTTTTTTTTTGAGTTCATGCCTGTTCGATCTGTAGAGCAACGTCTCTTAGGGCATACTCACACTGGGACTTTTACTCCTATTTCTGGACGGAATTACGGCCAGATGCGTACAGGTCCGGCCGTAAATGCGGTCAGATACATTTAACAAAATGTTGATGTGAGTACGCTCTTATCCGATTACGTCAATCAGAATCAATCAATCTTGTTCTGCTTGATATCGGCTCCCAAGTTATGTCCCCAATTACCTCCTTTCTCTTGTTCCCGCCTCTGCCGCTGTTCTTCTTGTTCCCCCTTTTTTATTCTGGAGAGGATCCAGCCCGGTTACTTATACCCCGGTAAGCATAAAAAGATACAACAAAGAGGTGAGGTGACATAGCTCACCAGATAATCAATCAACCAATCAATCAATCAACCAATCAATCAAGAAAGTATGGAAACTTCCCGCCAAATCGCCGGACATTCTCCGTCGATCATTATCGAATTACAGCTCCTCCCCTATGGACTCCGCTGATCTGCTGCTGATATTGCTGATCCGTCAACCTTAAACCCTTTTCCCTCCCTCCCGCTCCCACTCCCCCGATCAGACTCAACCCACCATTTCTCCAAATATATAAAAAAAAAAAAGAATGGAGAGTGTGTCCTTCTTATAACTTCTACCGTCTTCACCCGCATCGAACGCCCGCTCATTAAGGCCGCATCTGGACTGAAAGTTGCTCCAAATACAGTTATAATGACCAGGCGTTCTATTCGGATAAAAACGGTAATAGCTGAAGATGCACTCGCCGCTTTGCACATTTTGTGAGCAGTGCCAGCGAGTGAGGCCCTGTCTCCATCCGCACAATATATCCAAACCGTATCTATAGAGTATAACTGCTACAGAAGCCCAATTTCGGGGTTTTATTTCAAGCATGACCGTCAAAGCAACAAACCTCCACAGTTTATGCTCATTCATCGGCGAGTGACTACCTAGTGGACATACAGACAAAAGTCTCAAAAAAAAAAAAAAAAAAAAAGTACACACGTCCGCACTTTACAATATGGCCTTCGGGACGTCCGTTAAAATTGGAACAATACAGAGTAGGAAGATTTGCATGGCCCCTGCGCTTTCAAGGATGACACGCATAAATCGAGAAATGGCACTTTACAATGTCTTTTGAAAAAAAAAAGGGAAAAAAAAAAAAAAGGCTTTATCCGTTGTCAATCAATACCCACGCCGACCCGCGAACCGTCATGCATATCGGTTGACGTCAGCAAGAATCATCCTTCTTTCGGGGCAGACGAAAATTGAACAGCCAAAGAAACAAAACAAAAAAAAGAAAAAAAGAAAAAAAAGAAAAAGAAAAAGGCACTAACTGCTCAGCTTAGCTATGGCGGCCACAGTGCTATGGGGGAACCCCAGCGGTGCACACTGTGTGCATACAGGCGACAAAGAGATCTTGTGCCTGCGGGAAACAACGGGAGAGGTATTACATTAGGTGTCCTAGAGAGGAAGGGAACACTACCGTCTTCCCCCGAACACAACGCACCCTGATAATGCATGTATACAAGCTGTCTTTCCAGTCCGGTGCAGTCCGGTGCAGCCAAAATGAGGATGTGTTGTGTTCGGGGGAAGATGGTAATCAATCAGCAATTACCAATTCAACGTAGCTCGCCACCTTGCTGCGGCGGACAAGATATGGCGCCTCGCTCCACGACGCAACACATGCACAAACGACAAAAATTATGGCCGTGTTTCTTCCCATGATCTAGCGGAAGATTCATTCTCATTTTGCACATTTGGTGAGTTGTGCAGCCAGGCCCATGGTGTCATCGAATGCTTGGTAGCCCGGCGCGAGCCTCCCAGCAGCTGAAGACAGCAGAAGGGAAGGGAGGCTGGGCAGCTGAAGACAGCAGAAGGGAAGGGAGGCGGGGCAGCTGAAGACAGCAGAAGGGAAGGGAGGCGGGGCAGCTGAAGACAGCAGAAGGGAAGGGAGGCGGGCCAGCTGAAGACAGCAGAAGGGAAGGGAGGCTGGAGAAGCACGTAACGAAAAAGCTAACGGAGAGGCTAACGGGAAGGGAGGCAGGAGAACAGCTAACGGAAAAGCGAGGAAGGCAACCCTAGGGCAAGATAGAAAGAGGAGGGATCAACGGGACACGATACCTTCTGATGCGTGACAGCTGCAGGAAGACTGATGGGCTATGGCTGCCGACGACGATGTACACGACAACTGTTGAAGGTGAAGACTAATGGCTTTGGCTGATCAATAGCACTGAGAATGATGGCTATGGAGATCTAGAGGGAACTGACGCCTGTGGCGGGAGAGAAGACCGATGGCTATGGCTGCAGGGAGACCGGTGGCTGGGGCGATAAAAATGGACAGATGGGCAGATGGACACTGGCCCTTACAATGATGGAGAAGGGAACTCGTGGCTATGGCAGATGGGAGACTGATGGATATGGATGCGGGAAGAAAGACTCATGGCTATGGCTGGATGGAGATGGAACACTGAAGACTACTGCTGGTCGGAGGGGACGAGGATGAGCTCAACAAGCGTTACCAGTGGTAGTCACGCTCTGTGTGGGCGTTTCGATGCTTCTTTCGCCGCCGATCAGAAACCAATCAGTCGGCTGCCCTCCCAGCTACCACTGTATCACCCTATCCCTCCGCGTTTTTCACTTATAAAAACGTATAAAGGCCCTCGCTCGGCTGCTCGCCACGTATAAGAAATGGCGGGTGCATCTTTCAGCAGAAGGCGGAAAGATGCACTCGGCATTTTTCTGTCCCTGCTCGCCACGTATGTGCAATGGCGGGTGCATCTTTCCGCGGAAGGCCAAAAGATACACTCGACATTTTTCTGTACCTCTCCCATTCGGAGGTGCATGCCGGCCTCTTTAGAAAAAGTGAACTTGTGTGACTCCCGACCCCGGCCGACACTTGAAAAAAAACACCGTTGTTTTTTTTTTTTTCCCATTCTATTTGTGGGGAGCAGCACATGCTGGGGGTTCTTTTTTTTTCCCCTTTTCCCTTTTCTTTCTTTTGGTGGGTTCTCTCCAGTGGGAGCTCCCGCGTTGTAGTGTAGAAACAACACGCGGAAACAACTCGCAGACAACGAACGACAACAGAGTCAAAAGGGCCTACTTACCTGGTATGGTCGTAGTAGTTGCACTACTCGCCATCCGCCAACAATTTGAATGCATGTGGATAAACGTTTGTCCAAATGCATTCAAAATCTTGGCGGATGGCGAGTATGGCAACCAGGCCAAAATGTGTACAAAACAGAAAAAACATTCCAGCCCCCCCTCAATTCGCCTGCAGTAGCAGATCGTTATCCAGTTGTGATGGCAGTCGCCGCTCTGGCTGCGCGGTCAAGCAAGCAATTGTAAGACCAAATAAGACCAAATAAGACCAAACAAACAAGCAAGTGCTTCTAATCTACCGGCGGCCTCCCCACCCTACCGCCCGAACAAGCAAGCATTTGTAAGACGACTTTTGGGCCCCTCTATTGGTCCACCCCTTTCGGAGAAATCTTAAACCACCAGTACCCGGCCCAGCTATCGAGTCGGAGCCTCCGCCGACCGCTACGCCGACCCATGCCGAGGCTCGGACTACAGGGCGCAGGCATCCCGAACGTCGGAGTGAAACGAATGAAAAAAAGGGGGAAAAAAAAACAAAAAAAAAACGGAAAAAAAAAACAAAAGAAAGTATGGCAGTGTATATTCCCACGCTATAGCACCAGATTCATTCCATTTTGCTCATCCTATCGAGGGCACAGTACCATGAGGCCAGCCGCGACGAGATCGCTGCCTC